TGTGTGAAGGAGGAACTGTCACACTTATAAAATCGTCAGATCTCATGAGAATGCACTCACTATTATGAGAACAGCAAGGGGGAAAACACCCCCTCATGATCCAATCACTTCCCTCCCTCAACACATGGGGATTACAATTCAAGATGAGATTTGGGTGGGGACACAGAGCTAAACCATATCAGTTATCCTATTTCTTTGCCTGAAAATTTAGGTGTTTTAAGATCTGGATCAGAATCTAACTTTACAGATTAATAAATATGTATATCTCTGTGCCTTACCTTCCTTAGGACTGAAATTCAACTAGGAGGCACTAGGACAGCTATTTCGGTACCTTAAAGCTGGCCTCAATGCTGATTGTTGTTGGGCCACACTAGCTGTTAAACTTTTTGAGTATCATCCTTCTGATATGAATATGAACGTAGTAGTTGCAGTTTCTTACTTTTGTTGTGGGTTCAAGGATGCTTTCTAAATCCCAATAAATTCTGTGTAGGATCTGGAAGGTTACAATTTAACCTCCGATGATTACATGGCTTTTACAAAAAGAATTGTAAAAGGATGTATTTCCTTACTTAAGTTATCTATTTGCTTTTTAGTTTTTCAGAAGACAAAGTTGGAAAGTTTGCTACTCAAGATAAGTCTTCTGCAGAACATTGTAATGGAACTTATGGGTTTGCTATTGTCTCAACTTCTGGGAAATAATAAAATATGCATTTAAATATCAAATCTTGGGCTGGGTGTGGTGGCTCACGGCTGTAATCCCAGCACTTTGGGAAGCCAAGGTGGGTGGATCACCTGAGGTCAGGAGTTCAAGACCAGCCTGGCCAACATGGTGAAACCCTGTCTCTACTAAAAATAGAAAATTTGCCAGGTGTAGTGGCACACACCTGTAGTCCCAGCTATTTGGGAGGCTGAGACAGGAGAATTGCTTGGACTCAGGAGGTGGAGGCTGCAGTGAGCCAAGATTGCACCACTACACTCTGGCCTGTGCGAGACAGTGAGACTCAGTCTCAAAAATAAATAAATAAAATAAAATAAAAATAAATTCTTGTTATAAAAATTGGTGAAATCCAAATAAGATCTGCACCTGAGTTAATAGTATTGTACAAACTGCAATTTTCTGGTTCTCACAATATACTCTTGATAGAGGCAAGAAGCAGACAAATTCCTAGGCAGATAGGAAAAGGATCTCTGGAGAATCTTTGACTTGCCCCAGATATTTTATGCTAGATATTTTTGTACAGATAAGGGAACCTGCACAGGATCTTGCCAGGGCATGCCCACAATGGACTGGAGGCCCACATACACTGGGGAAATGGTGGGGAGCACCAGGAATTCGTACCTTATGCAGGGGAGCAGGCTGGCCTCCCAGTTCATGTGTGGCAGCCTGGTATTCAATCTGTGAAGTGAGAGCCTGCTAGAGGACCCTGTCTTTTTTCTGAGAGCTTTCTTTTCACTTAAAAAATTCCATCCTCCTTACCCTTCAACGGGTCTGTGTGCCTAATTTTTCCTGGTTGTGAGACAAGAAACTGGATTTAGCTGAACTAAGGAGCAAAAAAATCCTGTATTACTATGGTTTTGTAAGATTAGTAAAAGTTGGATGAAGAGTACAAGGGAACTTGCTGTACTACTTTTGCAAATTCTTGTGACTCAAACTGTTTAAGAATAAAATATTTAAAAAACAACAACCCATGCTTGACATAAAGGTGTTAAAAATCATTTTATTTTACATTTTGTTAACCAGACTTTTATTTATTTATTTTTATTTTATTTTATTTCATTTTGAGACAGAGTCTCACTCTGTTGCTCAGGCTGGAGTGCAGTGGCATAATCCCAGCTCACTGCAACCTCCACCTCCTGTGTTCAAGCCATTCTTGTGCCTCAGCCTTCTGAGTAGCTGGGATTACAGGTGAGCAACACCATGCCTGGCTAATTTTTGTATTTTTAGAAGAGACAGGGTTTCACCATGTTTTTCAGGCTGGTCTTGAACTCCTGATCTCAAGTGATCCACACACCTTGGCCTCCAAAGTGCTGGAATTACAGACATGAATCACTGTGCCCAGCCTGTTAACCAGACTTTTAATCATCTCTTTATGCTATTTACATGTTCCTCTTTCCTTCTGGTCCTTCCAGGTCACTGATAACTTTCTGACCTGTTATTTCTCACACTTTTCTCTATGTTTATGTAATGGCATACAAATAAATAAATACATATATTGATGTTTGCATTTTCATTTATTTCATAATGTAATTAAATTGTATATACTTCCCTGCAGATTATTTTTCTTACTTGAAAATACATCGTGAAAAATATCTTCAATTTACTTGGTATAGATGAAACTGTCCTTTTAATGGCTTGATTGTAGTCATTGAATCACAGCTTATTCAACCATTCCCCTACTGATTGATGTTTATTTCCTTCACAATGTTTTGCTACTCAAATATTTTTATAATAAATACTTTACAAGTATATATTTTGGACTGATGTTTTTATATCTGTTGGATAAGTTCTCAAGGATTTATCTGTGGAATTACTAGATTGAAATAATATGATTTAAAAATTTTTAAGGTATTTTCAGGCTTCTTTTCTAATGGCTTCACTACTTCACATTTTCAGCAGTGAAGAAGAGCCCACTTTTTCCTGCATCCCTACCACCAGTAGGTGTTATATATAATCCATGCTTTGTGTGTTCATAGTGAGAAGTTATATTTCACTAATATATTAATTTATGTTTCCCTGACAAACAGTGAGATCCAGCAGCCTTGCAACGTTTACTGATCATTTGGATTTTTCTGTGAATTGTTATTCATAACTTTTGCCCCCTTTCTTTCTTTCTTTGTTCTCTCTCTCTCTCTCTTTCTTTCTTCCTTTCTTTCTGACAGAATCTTACTCTGTCACCCAGGCTGGAGTGCAGTAGCATAATCTCAGCTCACTGCAACCTCCACCTCCCAGGTTCAAGTGATTCTTCTGTCTCAGCCTCCCAAGTAGGTGGAATTACAGACATCTGCCACCACACCCAACCAATTTTTGTATTTTTAGTAGAGATGGGGTTTCACCATGTTGGCCAGGCTGGTCTTGAACTCCTGACCTTGTGATCCACCTGCCCCTCCCAAAGTTCTGGGATTACAGGCATGAGCCATCATGCTGGCCACTTTTGCCCTTTTTCTATTAGATTGTATTTGCCATTTCCTTGATAATTTGTAAGAGCTCCTAATATATTACATATATTAATTAGGCATCTTTCATATGTATTGCTAATATTTCCTCTAAGCTCCTTTTTTTGCCTTTTGTCTATGTTTATGATATCTTTTGCTATACCACCTTTAATTTTTAGTGTTATGAAATATGTCTATATTTTTCTTTATTGTCTTCTTAGTTTCCTCCCCTTTTTAACAGTCTTTCCAACCCTCAAATTATACATGTATTATGTAATTTTTTCTGATACTTGTGTTATTTTATTTAGTTGTTTTACATTCATATAGAATTGATGTGCTGATTACTAAGCTATCATCATTCAGCTTCAAACCCACCCTTCTGTATTCTGCTTTGTGATGAGGGTCTGGGGACTCTGCAAACCACATTTCTGCTTTGCCAGCTGGTTCCCTGCTAAGTCCTGTCAACGGGAGGCAGGAGAGGGGGACTGGATGGATAAAGGAGGAAGACGGGACTTGATCTTTTTTGTCTTTTCTTTATTCCTGTCAACATCACTTAAGCAAAGATCTTCACACAGTGGTACTTGGTTCTGGAGTGGCAGTGGGTTTCAGTTGGTGGTTTTCCAACTCTTGCAGAAACATCCTCATTGCACTCCCTCAGAAATGCCAGCCAATGGGCACCATCTGTTTACACTTTCAGAGGTCTGACCTCCAGTTCAATGAGCCCCATCTCCAACCTTCTAAATTTTAATAATCCCCACTCCTTCCCTTTGTTCTCCCAGTCCTATGGATAGTAGCTACCTTCTACATGTTTCCTGTGATATTTCAGTATCCTCTTTCTGCCTTTTTATTCCCTAGTTAACACTTTTTAACTAGAGAATAAAGCACCTAGTTAACACTCTTTATATTAAATCCTCTTTCTTAAAATAACTGATATGGCTTCTGTTTCCTGCCTGGGCCTTGAGTGTTACTGTTGGATTCATCAATGTTTTCCTTTAGGATTTTTGCATGTTGTGACCTGCTTTTGATGTTGGGAATTTCACAGATGCCAGTTTTTTTTCTTTCTCTTTAAATGGCTAATTAATTGTCCCAACAGCTTTATTGTCTACTTCATCTTTCCCTACTAATTTAAAATATATTTTGATACATAGAAGTTTAAAATTTTTGTAGAGTCAAACTTATCAATTCATCCTTTATGACTTTTTTTTTTTTTTGGTGTTACTGATAAAAAGGATAAGTTCAGTCCCATTTCTCTGTGTCATGCCCTCTCTTATTTTCCACCATGAAATGACCCTTGCTACATGTTGGCACCATGCTCTTGGAATTCCCAGCCTCGAGAACTGTGAGCCAAATAAACTTCTGTTCATTCCAAATTATCGAGTGTATGGTAGTCTGTTACAGCAGCAATGAACTAAGATACATTTGGAGTTCAGACAGTAATCATGCCTGTTTTCTTTCTGTGCATTTGTATTTTATATATATATATATATATATATATATATATACATATTGACAGAGCAAAAATATGTGTGTGTGTGTGTGTGTGTGTGTGTGTGTGTATATATATATTTTTTTTTTAAAATGAAGTCTCACTCTGTCACCCAGTCACTCTTGTACTATATTATACTGCCTGACTTAGCATAGTAGTTTTCAACATTTTAAAAATTGAGATTCACTGTAAGAATACATTGTGATCAGGTTCAGTGGCTCATGCCTGTAATCCCAGCACTTTGAAAGGCCAAGTCAGGCAGATCATCTGAGGCCAGGAGTTTGAAACCCGCCTGCCCAACATGGTGAAACCTCGTTTCTAGTAAGAATACAAAAATTAGCCGGGTGTGGTGGCATGTGCTTGTAATTCCAGCTACTCTGGAGGCTGAGGCAGGAGAATTGCTTGAACCCAGGAGGCAGAGGTTGCAGTGAGCCAAGATTATGCCATTGCACTCCAGCCTGGGTGACAGAGCAAGACTCTGTCTCAAAAAAAATATCTATCTATCTATCTATCTATATATATGTATATATATATCTATATATATGTATATATCTATCTATATATATATGTATATATATATGTGTGTGTTTGTATACATTTTTGCTCTGTCAATGAATGTATATATACACATGTTTATATAACGTTGAAGCAAAAATTTCACAAAATAGTATTTGTGGCAGAGATTTTTACTACTTACAACTTCCAAGAAGCCTCCTTAAATGGAGGTTTCCACTTTCCCTTTCCTCTCCTTTCTTTTACTTGCTGACTGAAATGTGGGCATGATGGCTTGAGCAAGAATTGCACTTTGAAGCAGTCTGAATGAGAACTTTCTGGAATCAAGCCACTTGATGCTTAGTCTGACTACATTTGAAGTTTAACATAAAAAATTAATTTGTTGTTCTGTGTTTTATTGTTACTCCTAGCCAAAGTTAATGCTTACACATACATCTTCTATAGAGTTTATGCCAATTTATACCTCCACCAATAATATATGATCACTATTTCTCCACGGCTTCACCATAGGTATGTTGTCAACTTTTGGATTTTGATAATCTTGAAAGTGAGAAATAATAGCTTTTAATTTGCATTTCTCTTATCACACGTCAGGTTAAACAGCTTTTAGTATGTGGAAGGGTCATCCATTATATTTCTTTTTCTGTTGTTTGAAGTAACTTTAGATGGATTAAATTTAACAGAGTTTAATTGGGCAAATAATGATCTGTGAATTGGGGAGCCCCTTGAAGCAGAATAGGTTTAGAGAGACTCCAGTGCTGCCACATAGCCAGAAACGATTTATGGACAGAAAAAGGAAAGCAACGTACAGAAAATAGAAGTGAAGCACAAAAACAGTTGGATTGCTTATAGTTTGGCATTTGACTTATTTGAATATTGAACGGTTGGTTGTATATGAATGGCTACAATATGGCTTCTGTGATTGGCTGAGATTTGGCTACTTGTTTCAAAACTCAGTAATAGCCTGTTTACATGTCCAGTTAAGTTACAGTTCAATATGTACAGAAAAACCTTTAGGCTAAACCTAGGAGGAAGCAGCTTTAGACTAAGTTTAATTTAACAGTTCCTACCTTGTGGTCAGCCTCTTCACCTCTTAGTCAACTTCTCAATTTTGAGAGGTTGACCAAATTTTAGGCATTGATGTCACTCTGTCACCATTGTAATGTTCTTATTTGATTTCAAATCCCACTGAGAAATAGTAGAATAGTGGGCTTTGTAAGATGAGAACAAGGACTTCAGCTTCATGTTACTTTTTTTTTTTTTTTTTTTTTTTTTGAGACAGAGTCTCACTCTGTCATCCCGGCTAGAGTGCAGTGGCTCAATATTGGCTCATTGCAACCTTCACCTCCTGGATTCAAGTCAATTATCCTGCCTCAGCCTCAAGTAGCTGGGATTACAGGCATCTGCCACTATATCTGGCTAATTTTTATGTTCTTAGTAGAGACAGGGTTTTGCCATGTTGGCCAGACTGGTCTTGAACTCCTGACCTCAGGTGATCCACCTGCCTTGGCCTCCCAAAGTTCTAGGATTACAGGCATGAGCCACTGCACATGGCCACTTTTCTTATAAGGATTATAGCAGAGGGGATCTCCTTGTGTTGGAATCTTGTTTTCAGGAGAAAACAAAACCTAATCTATTTTAGGATCTATTTGTTTTCTTAAAATTTCAGTTTAATCTGTCGTATTTATTATAAGTGACTTCATTTTGGTTTGGTCTGATCTATTGGTACCTAGTGAGTGAGCTCAGTCCTTAAAGATGGCCTCCCATAATTTTGTTAAAAAATTTCTCCTTTTAGTCAGGTTCTCACTTAGGTGAGACCATAATTTAGGACTTTAGTACCACTCTCAGTTTTACCATCATTTTGGGTTTCTGGCTTCAGCATGTTATTCATAGGTCATGGCACCTTCATGGTCATACTTTTTTTGAGTTTTTGTCATTCTAGTTAGAGTGGGCTGACATGGTTTGGCTGTGTCCCCACCCAAATCTCACCTTGAATGGTAATAATCCCCATGTGTCAAGGGCGGGGCCAGTTGGAGATAATTGAATCATGGGGGCAGTTTCTCCCATACTGTTCTTGTGGTAGTGAATAAGTCTCATGAGAGCTGATAGTTTAAATGGGAGATCCCCTCCATAAGCTCTCTCACCTGCTGCCATGTAAAATGAGACTTTGTTCCTCATTCGCCTTCTGCGATGCTTTTGAGGCCTCCTCAGCCATGTGAAACTGTGAGTCAATTAAAACTCTTTCCTTTATAAATTACCTAGTCTCATGTATTTCTTCATTGGCAGTATGAGAACAGACTAATACAGGGCCCATTTGACATTCTATGCATGGCTGTAAGAGAATTTTTAAAAGTCTGTTGTGCAACCGTGGCCTTTGTAGTAGAACCTGCTATAACATCTATTAGGAGGGACAAATGTTTAATCACTGTCTCATTTACTCCAAATCATGTTAAAAAAGACCTAGCAAGTGATGTCCATCCGAAAGAGTAAAGGTGTCCTGGCAATGTTCTCTTTAACCTATGATGCAAGCTAAGAGGAGTGGACCAATATTTTATTTTTGATTAATTATATATCAACAAGTGTATCTTAAAATATTTTGCTTATGTTGGTCCTTTATCTTTTATTTATCAATGCATGATGTTGTTCATGTATAAGTTTATAAGGTTGCTTATAAAATCCTCTACAAATAAAAGTATACTCCATGAATGCACATAAGAGACCCATTTTCTGGTTTTATTATGGGTTTTTCTTTTGAGATAGGGTTTTGCTCTGTTGCCCAGGCTGGAGTGCAGTGGTGTGATTATAGCACACTGTAGCGCCAAACTCCTGAGCTCAAGTGATCTTCTTCCCTCAGCCTCCTAAGTAGGTTGGAATATAAATGGATGCCACCAAGTCCATCAAATTATTTTTTATATATTTGGAATGGGGGAGTCAACCCATAATTTGACCACAAACAGTGTCTCACTGTGTTGCCCAGTCTGGTTTTCAACTCCTGGCCTCAAGCAATCTTCCTGCTTTGGCCTCCCAAGGTACTGGGATTACTGACATGAGCCACTGCACCTAGCCTAGTTTTACTGTTCAGAGAGGTGTGAGCAAGGAAAAAGTTGACAAGTAAGAGCTTCATGATAGAGAAGCCTTGATCATTAATCTGTCATCTTGGGAAAGCTGTCCAGATTTAGGATGTTGTCTGTTTCTGAGGAGAAACTTTGCTGGTTAGCTTTGCCTGAAGGTGTCTAATGGGTATATAGTTCCCAGAGTGGGAAGAGGCCTTTCTGAGTTGTGGGATTACAAACCCAAGTTTCAAGCTTCCAAAGTTTTGCTGTAGTGTGAGTGGCAAGGACAGTCTTTCTCTGATCATTTTCAGAAGACCTGATCTCTGGGTTTTAGTTCATGAAGGGTTAGATTGTCTTCAGTCCATGGAGCATGAAAAGCTTTCTTTACTTGATGAAAATACAGTTGGGCATTGTGTTAGGCTGTCCTTGTGTTGCTATAAAGGAAAGGAATACCTGAAACTGGATTATTTGCAAAGAAAAGAGGTTTAATTGACTCATGGTTCTGCAGGGTGTACAGGAGGTAAGGTGCCAGCATCAACTTCTGGTGAGGGCCTCAGGAGTCTTATAGTCATGGTGATAGGCAAAGGTGGAGCAGACACATTGCATGGCAAGGGTTGGAGCAAGCAGGGGTGTTGTCAAGCACTTTTAAGCAACCAGATATTGCATGAACTCACATATCACCAAAAGGGTGGTGCAAAACCATTCATGAGGGATCCACCCCCATGATCCAAACATCTTCCACCAGGCCCACCTCCAACACTGGAAATTACATTTTAACATGAGAACTGGAGGAGGGGGGGAATATCCAAACCATATTGGGCAGAATGCATTTGCATTAGTCTATTTGTATTATTATAACAGAATACTTGAGACTGGGTAATTTTTAAAGAAAGGTAGTTTAATTGGCTCATGGTTCTGCAGGCTGTACAAGCATGATGCCAGTATCTGCTTGGCTTCTGCTGAGAGCCTCAGAAAACTTACGGTCATTGAAGGCAAAGTGGGAAGCCAGGGGATTACAAGGCAACAGAGGAAGCAAGGGAGAACAAGGTGAGAGGGAGGTCCCAGACTTTTAAACAATCAGGTTGCATGTGAACTAACTAAGCAAGAACTTACTTATCACCAAGGAGTTGGTGCTAAACCATTCATGAGATCCACCCCCATGATCCAATCACCTTTCACCAGGACCCACATCCAACATTGGGAATCATATTTCAACATGAGATTTGGAGGGTACAAATATCTAAACCACATGAGCATTAAAGACTTGTAGCATTTAGTTATGTCACACTTTAGAAACAGAAGATATTTGAAGTTTTACTATTAGAAGTCTAGGCCTTTTAGTGACTACTGTAAAAGAGGTCAACTTATGTTTTCACTGGGAGTAGATTTGATTGTCATTAGTCTATAATATCTTTGACCAAGGAAATCTAGTCAGGTCAGTTAGTTTGTCTGATGTTATTGTATCTGTAATACCTTATTTAACTGTTTTACAACTTGTCCAGTGAAACAAGTATCTTTTTTGCTGGGAATTTCTTCAGGAATGTCCCAGAAGGGAAACACATTTTTTAAATAACCTTCTATCTATTGTTATAACATCAGCCCCCCTGCGTGATCTGGAGATCTTTTATATCACCAGAAAAGATGCATTGAAAATGATGAGTAAAATTCCGCCGTAACTCTTTAAATGGCCCATCAGGTAGAAAAAAAAGTACCTGAAATTTTGATTGTCTTTCTAGGATTATGAATTTGAGGAACCAAACATTGGTCATAAACAATTTTAGCAATTTTAGAATAGTCACCAATATATATACTTTTATTTTTTTTTTTTTTTTGAGACAGAGTCTCACATTGTTGCACAGGCTGGAGTACAGTGGTGCAATCTGGGCTCACTG